CGATGTGCTGGCCGCGGCTTCTCGCCGCCCCCATTGGCCCGGGACGGCGAACCGCGGCCAGTGGGGGCCGCGATCGGCAGAACCTGCCGCGTCAGCAGGTAAATAAAACTGGCCCGGCCCGCCAGGGTGCTTATCTTGGCGAGCCGCGTGCCGAACGTTGCCGACCCCTCGTCTAGTAATTAGGGCACTAGCCTGAGATTTGGGCAACCTGGGTTCAATTTCCTGCTCTGGCAAAGACTTCCTGTGTGACTTTGGACAAGGCACTCAAGTCTTGTCTACCACCCTGGGGCAAACAGGAGTTTTCATTCACTTGTGTTTTTTCAGTAAAATGCCTTGCGACCAATTCTTATTTCAAACTAACTGGTCATTTGTTGTAAACTGGATAACCCACTTTGAAAGTGGGTTAGTTCACTTCAGGATGAGCTAGTACAGAAAAAAGTGTGTCTGGATGCATCTGTCTTTCAGCATAACTTCTGCCTCCGGCAGTCCTCCCACTGCTATCCCACACTACATTGCTTCGCACCTGGATCTACTTGTCTCTCTGTGTGCCTGCTACTACTCTGGGGTCATGTTTAAATACTGTCGCGCAGCTAGAAGCGACCCGTTTGCAATTGCACATGCCTGGATTCTTGTACCCTTCTCAGCATTAAAGCAGCCATGTCTCATGCATCCGTATGGACCCACGGATTCAGTAGTGTAGCTAGGGGGGTGCAGAGGAAGCAGCCGCTTCCCCTCAGCACATTTTACAAAAGCGGCGCCTTAGTTAGGGGTTACCATGGCGCCAGGGGGCGGGGCCCACACTCTGCTCTGAAGCTTGGCCTGCCGGGCCGGCAGAGAGAGGGCAGTGGCAACAGCGAAGGTTACTGGGCATGCTCAGTTCGGGTGAGCATGCTCAGTACACCCAAAGTCACCCAAAGTAGGGAATTGGGAGCAGGAGCTGTTTGCGTCTCGTTACACCGGCGCTGGGCTCCTGCAGACAAGGGGGGGGGGCGGCACGGCCGGAGGAGCCATGGGGGGGGGGGGCGGCGTGGCCGGAGGAGGAGCCAAGGGGGCGTGGCCAGAGGAGGAGCCAAGGGAGGGCGCCTTTTTAATGTTGCTCCCCCTGCTCTCAGAACCTGGCTATGCCACTGCATGGATTCCCTTGAGATCTGGAGAGAGATGTTGGTCCAGTACTGCCTGAAGAGCAGCCACCGGAGTGCCAGGCTACACAACATATAGCAAAGCAAATGATGGGAGGGATCAGTCCCAAGAGAAGTTTCAATGCCGCAACAAAGAAAAGGAGCTTTAGCAGAGTTCTTAATTAAAAAAAAAGAAAAGAAAACACAACTGTGTGGATGCACTGATTCAGAAGGAAGTAGATTGTGTCCACCCACCTGGCTTTAATTATTTTGGATAAATTAATCCACAAAAGTATACATGCAAAAACACAGTCCACAAAAGAACCCAGGTGTAGACAAGCATAAGAATAACTATACTAGGTCAGACCAAACATCCATCTAGCCCAGTATCCTGTCTTCCAACAGTTCATTCCAGAGGGAATGAACAGAACAGGCAACCACCAAGTGATCCATCCCCTGCCACCCACTCCCAGCTTCTGGCAAACAGAGACTAGGGACACCATCCCTGCCCGTCTTGGCTAATAATCATTGATGGACCTATCCTCCATGAATTTATCTTGTTCTTTTTCTAACCCTGTTATAGTCTTGGCCTTTACAACATCCTCTGGCAAGAAGCTCCACAGGTTGACTGTGCATTATGTGGCCTCAGGTCCTCCTCTGCAAACAAGAGGATAAATATATTACCAATTGTTAAGCAATCAAATACCATCCTAACGGGGACTATACAAGTATGATAGACAGAAATAATGCTTTCCCTATGAAAATAAGAACATAGGATCTGATGTCCCAGATCAAACCATTAGTCCATCAAGTCCAGTATCTGGACTCTGGCAGTGGTCAATACCAATTACCTTAAAAAGAATGTAAGAAACCAAAACCCCTAATTCATCCATGTTCATTGCTATACAAGGGGGTTTAAAAACTCACTCCTGGCCTTTGCAAGCGATCAGCTTACATCCTGAAGTTTGATAGCAGTGCTATGTAGTCAGAATGCTGAACAGTAAATCTCTAAAGGCTGATGTGTAAATGTTTTTTGTCACGTTTGTATCTGAGAAAATGAGAAAGAAAGGAAGAAGCATTGCAACATTGTCAAGTCAATTCACATTATAAAATCCTAACCAGCACTTTGCAGAAAGAAAGCTTGCTGTAGTGGGCTCCCACACATGTACTTTGCAATAACAATCCATATAAGGAAAATAGGACATGTAGTATGTTAAAAACAAAATGAAGGATTATTATTAAATGCTCTGGTAAGTTATTTTTAAATACAAGAATGTCCTGTATGATTGTTTTCAATTATTTAAAAAAAAAAAAATCTGTACATAAGGATTTAATTTTACCGGATGTATGCTGACACAAAAAGCAAGATATTGGGCCTTCCAAAATATGCAACTGATGAGCGCAGCACTCACAATGCTATATCCTGTTACTTAATGAATAAACATGATTTTGTCTTCTTCCTCACAGAGAAAACACTTAGTACCTTTAAGTTACACGAGCTTTTCCAGTAACTAGTAGGTCTGTATTGTAAGTTAAAAGTGATCATTTGGAGAATTATGTGATCAAATAAAGATGTTATGACACAAGCCAAAAATTGAAGCATTAAATACCAATGCTGGTCAACATCTTATCAGTACAGCCCTCTAGATGAATCACTTTTTTCCCTCAAATAAACAATTTGTTCAGTTACTCTGTTCAACTCCCTCTTCACTTTAGGTTGCAATTTTCAAAAGCAGCAACTGGAATCAGAACATGTTCCTTTGAAAGTCAACAGGACTTATCCTCCTAACTCACTTAGGCACTTCTGAAAATCCCATCTTTAAAAGTTTGGAAATCTAGTTGCCAAATGCAGGTAGAGGAGAAGCCATCAGGTTAGTTTGGGTTTTCACTTTAACCTCTGTGAGCCTCAATCTTCCCATGTGCTTAAGGGGGGGCAGGCGGAATCACACTTACCCTGCTTTATAAAGTACTTTCAAATGCACAAATGTTAAAGAGCTGCATAAGTCCTAAGTATTATTAATGATTATTATTATTATGCATTCTATTCACAACAAATAATTACGGCTGGCTAAAGTAAGAAGAAACGATAAAGATTTTAAAAATCTAATCACTAGTTTTAGAAGAGTTTAACTTTGCTGCTTTCCTTTTAAAGCAATGTTTTCCTGTGGATGCCTTGGGCTTGAGGCCCCTTTCGGCAGCTCAGGAGACTGAGAGCTTTAAGTTCCAAGGACAGCTTTATAAAACCAATTTAAATTACAGGATTTCATTACAGAGTTTGATCCTATGCAGCAGCAACAACAAAAGAGTACACTGTACTAGCCGAAGCTGAATGTTTTTTAAACAGGCAACGCACACAAAGGGTTACCAGCCAGAGGGGAAAAAAAGAGTCATAAAAAGGGGGCCTCTCACTGCAGCCACAGAGGAGGTACCATATAACCATAAGGAGAGTAAATTTAGAACGGGAGGCCTACTGCATTAGAGGGATTCCAGACATTCCTGCCTTAGCAATGCTGCAGAGCTGAAAGGGGCTGCCATCTTAAATAGCCAAAGCTGGTAAACAAGGTCATGACATCACATAGATTCTACAGCAACAGAATCAACAAGAGCTTACAGGTAGGTATCAGCCTTGACCTTTTACATAGCAACTGCGCTTTTTTTCTTTAAAAAAGTGGGGGGGGGGAATAAAAAAATATAGATAGATAATCTTTTGATTACAAATATATAAAGCTATATTGGCATTCAGATTTCTGTTTTAAGCATACAGGCCTACTTTGGAAACAAATAGACAAAGCCACATTTTAAACTG